GAATTATCTCATATGTATTGACTTTGATAAAAAAAAATTAGTTTTGATATACTACTTGTAGATACAACTGTAGATACTTCATACAATTGTAGATATACAACTGTAGATATTTCATTACATATTTTCTTGAACAAATACGAAACATGTATGTACAATATTAATTACGAGTCCAAAAATTAAGATTAAAGAAGCAGAGAGAGAAAAAAAGAAAGGAGAATAGTCTTTTGTTCTCTTTGCAAAACTATTGCATATTTAAAAATATAAAATATTTAAAATTTTTTATGTAATCAATTGTTTTTATAAATAAAAGTTTAATATAGATTTTTATTTCCTGTTTTATATTAATATAATAGTTTTTTTAATTTCCCAGTCTTATATAATTTATAAGTTATATAATTATGATAAATATGATATCAATATAGCTGAAAAAGAAAGATTTCCTTTATCTCTGGCTCATAACGTGAGTTTTAAAGTTTGTGGTAAATTAAGATAATGATATAAATTTGATAATACAGTTCAACAAAATCATATCACAACACATAATTCATGATATTTTATTTTATATGTTATACGTTTTATGTATAACATAAAGATTAATAATTATCACACACATTAATATGCTTCGATATATTTTTAAACTTATATTAGACTCTAATCTAATCTACAGATTAGAGAGAGCCCTTTGGGCTATAATCTTGCATACTTTAAATAACTTTCAGAATACAAATAATTTAACATATTTTACATAGCAATATCGTATTCACGCGAACGTTTTATTTCTCTCTATTAATATAATATTACAAAACTGAAATCGTAGAAACAAATATTGCGCGTATATTTTTGTTTTATATTTATGCGTTTATAATTTATATATTTTTTATTTTGTGTTTAATATTATAAAATATACCGGGTGTTTAAAAAGCGTTTAATGACAAATATATCAATAAAAATATACATAAAAAACAATATTTTAAGCAAAATTATAGGAGATCACAGAGTTTGAATACATTTAAATTTAAAATATTTAAATATCCAAAAAATATCCAATATTTAAATATCCAAAAGCATTAATATCAAACGTAATACGTAAGTTGACAATTGTTAACAGTCATTATATACCTTGTCGTTCAGTTACCTGAAAATTGATCGTAACCATTCAATGTTACTTGAAAGCTTTAAGTTAATTGCCATGAAATTGGCTGAATAAAATATTAATGTAAAAGCATGCGTCATTGCAACGGTAAAAATGCGAGCATTTTCAAAGCATGTATATAGAAAATATTTTAAAGAAATTAAAATACGCAATCGTTTATACATTACACCTTACAAAGTAGAACTTACAGAGAAGAATAAACATTATTAATTATTCATTCTGCGTAAGCATTGCTGAACCTAGTTGCGTAGAATTAACTTAAAAAACTTAACACATTCATGTATAGAACTAATTAATCTACACAGAAAAAACAATATCCTTGAAAGAATGCAAATATGCTTTAATCTCAAGTATATTTTATCCTTAGCGCATAATCTTGAATAAAAGATAATTTATCTTTAAAATAAATTGCAAAATATTCTTTGGTTGAAGCTGAAATTTACTTATAAATAGTGTAAGGACAAGTGAGCATCGAATATAAGCGGTACTTTCAAGTATATAATTCTAGTTCAAATGTGAATAAGTTTATTTTTACCATATAACGATTTTTATAACAAGACAAGATTATTATATCTCTAAGGATAAATTATATTTTACACAAACTTATTTATTATTAATACAAATGAAGATTTGTGATTACAAAGCGCATTTTTAACACTTAAATGAATCAAAAGCGTTCAAGAATAAAAATATACTTGAATCAAGGACTCCTTTTTTTCTATGTAATATTGATATAAAAAATAATTTGACATAAAAACTGTCATTAAAATTTACATAGTGCAAAGTTCATAATCCATTCATAGTATATTTGCGTACAATGCAGTAAGATTTTAAGTTTTAAATAGTTAAAAAAGAGTACACGCGCACATTTAATTAAAAATTTTAACGTAATCTTCATTCTTTTTTACATGCATATGTGTGTATTGTATTTTTTACATAATTATTTTTACGCAATTAGATCTAATAATAATAATAATAATAATAATAATAATATATATATATATATATATATATATATATATATATATATCACGCAAAATAAAAGAGTTAATAATATTCATCAATGATCATATTTATAATATATATAATAACTTGGTTATATTTTTGCTATTTTTTTCCACGAACTACTTATAATTTTCGACGTTAAACAGTAAGTTGTAAATATTTTATATTAAAATTTGGAAATCGTTTATTGGAATTATTAGTCGGTTATTTTTAATAATTTGCAGTAAGTTCAATATTCTTCCACAAAAAAGAGAAGAGGATATTTCGAAGATTATAGAACATTTTAATTTTTTCTAACAAGACTTTTAAGATCAAATAGTAAGTTGCATCTCTCCATTTTTTAATAAACAAAAAGTCTCTACCTAATATCTCTATACATAAAAAGGAGTATGCAAACAATTTCTTATTTAATACATACACACATTATATTTTTCTTTTTAAAATATCTCAATTATTATAATTTTTATTTTATTATAAGTTAAATATCTCTCCAGAGATAGGTATATATATCTACATACACTCTATATCGTACTTACTCTGTCGCCCTCGTTTTTTAATCACTCGCTAAATAAACAGTCTCCACGTGCACTATTATGAATAAAGAGTTGGATTACTCCGAACTGTATGGAAGCTCTTGCAATACTGACTTTTCAGACAGAACTCAGGGTCTGCCTATGTCGATCACGCCACATGTGAGTTACGACGTCTAGTGTGTTATATATGGCGGGGGCATGTTATTAAATTCCTATGTTGCAATTCCTAATCATAGAATTGGAAGAATGAATGAAATCGAAATTGATCGATAGACTCACGTTGACTAAGTCCTTCACTTATTTTCCTCATTGTCAGCCAACAATAGACAACCTATTGTTTGTCTATGTTTTTAATTGAGAAAGATCTAACAAAGATCAAAACTATTATATAGTTTTACAAAGACAGAAAAATAGTAAGAGAATCTATTTGCTATTATATTATATATACTATATTATTTTTACTACTTATTATTATCTATACTTTTTGTATGTGTATTAATATCCGAAAATTCATGCGTTTACCTATCATATTATTACGCTGAAAAAAGTTGTTAATTGAATCAAATAAATACTATTTTGTTAATTAAACATATAGAAATATTTAAATTAAATATAACATATTAAATTTAACAAAACGTTTATTTAATTGAAATACTAATATATGTTCAATTAACAAAATAATAATTTTATTAAATGGTTTAGTTAGCAATTTTTTTCAATGTACTTGAATATATTTCATAGGTAAATAAATTTAGGTCTATTATCATTATCTATCCTACGAAATATACGCAGGTATAATATAATTTACTGCTTTCGATCAAATTTTCTATACGAGTTTTCCTAAACGCTTATCGCTTTTTAGAACAGATTAGTCATTCCCGAGATTATCAGGGTTAAAGTTTGCTGCCAATCGTACAAACCTTGAATTAAAAGTTGATCATACCGTTGTAATAAGTAAACATCCGCATAGTGACTTTTTGTTTCGAATTTTGGTTCCCTATCTAAGAGAAAGATAATTTTTCTTCATTCTAATTTGTTTTAATAAATTAAACTAATAAATTATGAAAAAAATTATTAAAAATGCAAAAAATACAATTATTTATTTCTTGCTATTAACAAAATAATTATTGAATCTTTTCTCAAACAATATCTGCATCAAATATGCCTATAAAATATTATAGGTATTTACGTAATATATGAAAATTATAAAATTATATTTAGTTAATAAAATTACGAACGCGATGTTTATGTATTCTTAATTTGATTATCTCGATTCATAATGTATTAATTCCATACCGGTTTTTCCTGGTGATTTTCATTTATAATTATGATGTAAGTACAAAAACAAGTTACTAATAATAAGCAGTAAATACCGGCAATTATTCTCGCAACATCAAATATAATGCATCGCGCTTGGTATTTGTTATTATTTAAATATTTATATACAGTGAAATATTACACCAGGTAATATTCTCTTCCACTTGAACGCACACATAAGTTAATAAACTGATTAACATATTGTTAATTATCATAATTCAATCTATCTTAATTATTCTGGACATTTCCTTCTCTAGATCTAGCCAAAAAATTAAATTTTAGTTTAACACATAACAAATTAAAAATATTCTCACTGAATTTGACTGTTCTAACTATATATATAAATTAAAAATTGTGACATATAACAAGTAATAACAAAAAAGCATTGTTATACTTGAAAAAACTTACTTCATAAGGCTGTTATCGAAATTGAGTATCACAATAATAATATATATTGTAATATTATTTTTTTGATAATATAATTCTTATGAAATTTACTTTAGATGATTTACAATTTACAAAATTCAAGAAACAAAATTCTATTTATAATTTTTATTATGCAAGTACAGAAAGTATTTTGAAGAAAATATATACATAAAATACACATCAGAATACATTCATTAGGATATGCATACACATAAAATTATACATAGAGTTATCTTGAATTTTGTTGCATTGCACTATACATTATCCAAAGTAAACATAAGATAAAAAATAAATAAATATATTGTGTGTATATATATATATATATATATATATATATATGTAAAATCTTTACATTTTTTGATATTGCTTATACAGACGAGATATTAAATGTATAATATAGATTCTCTTCATTTTTTTTTTCTTTTTATTAAAAAAGTTAATGTTGTGCGATACTGAATATGAACAACTTTTGAATATGATAATCAATGAATGACAGAATCAATGATCCCCCCTTATGATTTAGATATGTCAGTTAACTGCATATAAGAAATAAAAATTTACAGCAATTTTCTATCATAAATGAAAATCTTTATTATCTATATATTATCTATATGATTGTGTTCATATTAACAAAAATAATTTGATGGAAGTTTCTTATGAAATCAGTTAATTAGGATATATGAATTAGGTAATATATACATTACTGAGATCCTGTTGATAATAATGCCAAGACTGCACTAGTAACTCCTACAGAAAGTATGTAATTTACTGCAGGTGTGAACGTTTCAGAATGTAAAATGACGATACAATAACAAATGCCAAGAAAAGGGCATTATTGTAAAAAATTGAAAATGTTGTTGCTTCGTAATCTGCCACTTCGTTCTTCTTCCACAGAATTCTAAATTTTTAATATAATGTAAATTAATATACATGTTGCAGAGAATATGAAAAATAATCTTAGAATAATATCATGTGTTTAAATTGACACACCAATGATTACTCAGAAGATACTGGTTCAAAATATTGATGACTACTTGTGTTTCAGAAAAATTTAAAGGAAAATATGAAAAGAATATAATACCTTTCATCCTTTTCCTTCTTGCTCATCTTCTTATCTTCTGCAAGTTTGCGGCTTATTTCCTTTGTTACTGCATCTTCTCTTTTTACAGCAATCTGTATATATATATATATATACAAAATTATTCCCATTATTATATAGTTATACATTTTCATCATTATTTTTTAAAAAGATGTATATTATATTATATGTAAGTATATATATATGTATACTTATATGTACCTTATGCTTGAGGATGAATTTTGTATTTTTATATGCCAAAGCAAGAGCGTATGTACTAGCTAATGTAACTAATACAAAAGAGATTAGATTGGAATATAGATCAATTAAGTGTATTCTCCAAAACAACCCTGTAAACATATAATAATATATTAAACACATATTAATAAAAATGAAAAATCTTAAATAAATCACATAAAATTTGACTTCTGTATAACAATGATTAATTTCTAAGGCACGACAGTCTAATTAACTGTAGTTTTAAATCAGATAATATAAAATCGATGTAAAATTTTGTGATAAGAGTTTTAGTGCATGTGGAAAAAGCAAAAAAAAGAATATAATTAAAAAATAATTAAATCTCTACTCACAGATGGGTATCGCCGAAACGATAAAAGCATTGCCGTAGAATAACGCCGAGGATTTCGTCGAGACATTTCTAGAGAAATCCTGTAGCAATAGCTCCTCTTCCTTTGTAAATGCCTTAGACTTTCCTGACATTTTTAATAATTTATTGGCAAGTGATCGAATAACCAAACAACCGTTCACTACAAGAATCGAGATGCGACAGCCAGAAACAAATGGCGCGCATGCGTAGAAAAAGCCGATGTTGCAGACGTTGGACGACGTGTCCGGCGAAACGTCATTGCTATCGAATCGATTGCGAGTACCGCCTCTATAGGCCGTCCAGACTAAGCTTTAATTAAAAATGTATTATCGATCGCAACTACATAATTTAATTAGTTCATCGATTTCATTAATTTTCTTCTTTCTCTATCATTTTCGATGATAAACGTTTTCTGATAAGAATTGAAAAATACCAGAGAAGAATATTTTAATAAGTTCTTTGTCAAATTTAAAAAATATTGAAACTATATATGTACATATATATACTTAAAATATATAATTATACGAATAAAATTTCAAAGATATTTTTTATTTCTCTTCTTGATGTTTACCATTTTCGATATTATTCATTATCATGTCGTCATTCATGATAATAGGATACCTTGGCCGGCTTACTTCACTTATTCGAAATGTACACATACGCAAATATGACAATATGTATATTATATTATATTATAATTATATTAGGATAAGTTGAAGTTGGCCGGCGTCTATATTTCAATACGTATTTAAATAACGCGCGCATTTAAATTTCGATAAAGGCAAATTGGAAACAAAACTTGCGGAAAGAGATGTGTGTGTGCAAAATTCGTGACATATCGATATTGATTATTTATTTCGCGAAGATGCATTATAAAGAAATGCATTATTGTTCGAAAACAGATATAATATATAGCAATAGGACCGTCATACGTACAGTTAAAATATAACACGGAATGTCACGTTGTCGCTACATGAGAGGCTAGGGGACGAATCAATACACTGTCTCTTGCTTACAAGTCGTAATATTGTTTTGATCAAAGTATTCTGTGCTTTATCATTGCGTTTCATATGGCTCAATGCGTTTAATGTCACCGCACAATACTGCTTTATAATTAAAAAATTTTTCGTACAATACCTAATTGGTGAAAGAGAGAGCGAGCGTGTTTTGATGCGTGCGACTTTGAATCGACTTTGTCCTTCAGGTGGCGCTGGTATGCGGCGCGTCACGTGTCACGTGACTGGCGCGGAGTGGGGGAACAGCTGCGCACGCCAGTCTCCCCACCACCGTCCACCGCTACGCAGCAGGTAAAGCGAGAGAGAAGGATTTCTCTCTCTCTCTCTCTCTCTCTCTTCTCTCTGAAAATGTTTTCGAAAAATCGTTCTTATCAAGAATTGTTGTCACAGTGTGTCATCTACATGTGTGCGTGTGAAAATATTTCATAATAAGATACATATATTCATATTATAAATTAAACAAAAATCATGCGCAACTGAGCTGATTTTATCGATAGTCGGAAAAAAGATGTCATTTTAGTCGAAATGACGTGTGGTGACTTGACTAACTTTAAATCCGTGGATGTGATGTCACAGATTAATAGACAGATCGCCAAAGGCCTGCCTAAAGAAGAGACCGCCATCTTCGTGCGATAGACTTTGCCCCTTACCGACACACTTTGCCCCTGGTTCGAGTCCGTGCTAAATTCGTAGACTTGAACCAAAAGACTTTGCCCCTGGTTCGAGTCCGTGCTAAATTTCGTAGACTCGACCAAAAGACTTTGCCCCTGGTGCAAGTCCAGGCTAAATTCGTTTGACATTACCAACAGACTTTGCCCCTGGTGCGAATCCAGGCTAATTGATCATGAGACCAATTTGAGAGATTTGGCCCCCGTTGTGTGTGTGTGTGTGTGTGTGAGAGAGAGAGAGAGAGAGAGAGAGAGAGAGAGAATATTTTACATATATGCATATATATATAAAATTTATTAAATATAAAAAATATATTTTTTACACATAAAATGTTTTTTTATTGAAATAATCACGATTTTAAATGTGATATAACACAGTGTTCAAAAATTTTTAATTAAATTTTTTAATTAAATTTTATTAAAGAAAATTACTTGAAATTTTTTACATTAAGAATTTAAAGGCTCCTTATTCTCTTGTAGAAATTTATCACTACGCCAATTAATCACTTATTTTGAGTATTTAAAATACTATAATATACAGTAATTTAAGTATTCGAAATAAAAGTGATTAATTACTCGAAATAAGTGATAAATTGGCGTTACTAGTAATAAATTTCTATAAGGGTTGAAATAAAGTATAAGAGATAAATAGGCTATATGTGAGCCGTATGCGAAATGTGAGATGTAAGACGCATATTGAAATTTAATTTTTCGATATAACTTTCAAAAATGTACACGAGGTACAAAAAATTAGCTTGGACATTTGTAAGACTTAAAATTGGGATTAATTCTCAATTCTATTAATTAAATTTCGATATAACACACCTTACATCCGCGCACGGCTCACATATATAGCCCATTTATTAGTGCAATTTTTAAGTTCCTTATTTTTCAAAGTTCACCTTTTTACGTTATCAAATATTTTTACGTTTTCAAGAATTTTATATTTTTACTTACCGCAGTTTCTTATCCAAATGTAAAATCTTTTATCGCAGTCTATAAAAAATTGAAACAATTTACAATTTTATGATATAATATTATTATTATTACAATTTCTATATATATGCACATCTGTCAAATATCGTGATTTATTTCACATTATTATTATCTATTTTAATAAAAAAAAAAACAAAACACTTGCAACAATCAAAAATAAACCGCCTGCCGCGAACGGAAAATGCCAAGAAAGCACGCAATTTCCGCGAATCTCGTAATTTTTTTGAAAAATCAACAATTTCAACGAAATTGTAAATTCTTCAAATCACTGCACAAGTATAATTCACAATAATAATTTTCAGTAACTACGATAAAAAATCGTATACTGAAAACCGCAAACGAAAGTGCAATGGGAGTAAGAGTAAAGTCTGTGATAAAATTAATTGGCAATAGAAAATTAATAATTTTCAAATAGAAAAATTTTGAAATTACCGAGGATTTACAAATAATAAAGTAAAAATATTAAATAATTTATGTTTTCGAATTTTGCTCGCGGAGAGGATCTTTAAAACAAGATTTTTAGAAGAGAGGACCTTTAAAATATAAACAGGCAAAAACGTTGGAAAAATTAAAGCGCGCGTTTAAACAGATAAACGCAATGAAATAAATACGCAATTGTTTTTACTTATCGCTGTAAGCTCACAAGCTTCTGACGTGCTATACACTTTTATATAATATATACAAGGTGTCCGGTAACTAACGGACCAATGATTAAGGGCGGATTCTCTGGCCAATTTGGAGACGATTTTTCCTTAGCAAAAATGTTGAGAAGTCAATAATTTTCGAGTTATAAGCGATTGAAAAAAATAGGTTTTTTGAAAACTAAACGTTTTGGAGTTAAAAGTCTAACATAATTACATTCTTCAGTTAATTTCAGGTAGAGTTTACTATAATAAAATTTTAATTTAAGGCTTAGTTATAAAGATACATAATGACAAAGATTGGAAAGTTGTAAAAAATGATGACCTTTTTCGACATTTTCGCTGAGGAAAAATCGTTCCCAAATTGACCAAAGAATCCATTTGTAATCATTGGTCTGTTAGTTACCGGACACCCTGTATATTGGACACGAGTTTCGTTTGTTTCAGATTCTCGAGAGTTGAAGTAGGAACATACGAGTATCATATATCGTTTGTGACTTGCCGAATGAAAGCAAGACAGAGAGCGAACGAGATGATGAGCTTAATAGCTCATAATGTTATAAATAAATAAATAAAAAATTATAACCTGACCTACTAGTTATTGAATCTTTTTTTAATAAAATGTTTCATTATTATTATCATCTAAGTCTAAGTCGTTTAATTACTTTTTAGTTTTTTAATAATTAATTTAATTTATTCTAGTCATTTTTATATGAGAAAAATAATATCACGTATACGTTTTATAATGAATTAATATATTTCGGGAATCGAATTATATATTCTTAATAATATAAAAGTGTTCAAAAATTATATTTGACTTTTAATTTTAATTATTTTATAGCAAAGAGTTCCGAAATCTCTTACACACATAATGGGGATTTTTTTCATCCATATAATTCGCAATTAAGTATATATGTTAATTATTAATTTTAATAAAATAAAAATTAAAATTAAAGGTCAAATATAATTTTTAAACACAAATATATTAAATTAATTATAAAACGTATACCCATGATAGTATTTTTCTCGTACAAAAATAATTAGAGTAAATTAAATTAATCATAAAAGATTAAAAATTAATTAAAGAATTTAAACTTATATTTTATATAATAATAATAAAACATTTTATTACGTCAAACCGTCGTGAAATAATTAAATAAAATTTGCTAGTTACGTCAAAGTCAAGTTTTCTAAGCTTATAAAACATTTTATTAAAAAACAGATTCAATAAATATAAGTACATGTTATATATATACTTATATTTATTGAATCTGTTTTTTTTATAAAATGTTTTATTATTATCATATATAATATAAATTATTTAATTATTTTTTAATTTTTTTATGAGTAATTTAATTTGTTCTAGTTATTTTTGTACGAGAAAAATACTATCACGGGTATACGTTTTATAACGAATTAAATATATTTATGTTCAAAAATTATATTTGACCTTTAATTTTAATTTTGTATTTTATTAAAATTAATAATTAACATATATACTTAATTGCGAATTATATGGATGAACAAAATCTCTATTATGTGTGTAAGAGATTTCGGAACTCTTTGCTAAAATAATTAAAATTAAAAGTCAAATATAATTTTTGAACACTTTTATATTATTAAAAATATATAATTCGACTCTCGAAATATATTAATTCATTATAAAACGTATACGTATTAGTATTTTTTTCACATATTAAAATGATTAGAATAAATTAAATTAATTATTAAAAAACTAAAAATTAATTAAACGACTTAGACTTAGATGATAATAATAATGAAACATTTATTAAAAAATAATTATAATAGGTCAGGTTAATATTTTATTTATTTATTTATTTATAACATCATAAA